TCTCAATCATTCACTGCAATGCTTGAGAAATCTAGCTGGCCTGGAACACCCTTTGAGTTAATAATTAATTTAGAACAACTTTTGAAAAATAAGAAAAAAAAAAGTAAAATGGCCAGAGCAGTGCTCCTGTCCCCGTCGGTCTGGCCGGACTTAGACAAATAAGCACTAACAAAAAAACACATAAAAGAACAACAGCTATATTACTCCTAAAAAATATCCCGGGCAACGCCGGGTAACCCAGCTTGTGATATATATTATACATTACACACTACAGCACATTACTCATTCATTTATAATTATTTTCACCATGGTGCAAAATCATGCGTTCAATATGCTCACTGCCATGCTGATGCCACTTTTCTCTGTGTTATATCATGTTAACACATTGGTGACAGGCCCCAAGAAATCTCATAGTATGCTCACGAGCGGTTGGTGACCGGCCCCGGGGCAGGTCACCAATGTGTTAATGTACATAATATATAACACAAATAAGATATACACTTTCAATTACTTTTTTCTTGTCTCACCCTGTATATTACAAAGGAGGAAGGGAAAGATTTACCAGATTCAAAATGGAAATGGGCCAGGATAAATGGGTTCAAACATCGGAAGCCATTGGCAGCCAACTTGCACTCATTTCAATCGTTCACTGTCAGGAGATGGTGGGTTCATCTTGTCCACCTTGCAATCTTCAAACCCTCACAGACAAGGGTGTGTGCACTTCTGTAACTAATGCCAAGCTCAAGAGATGAAAATTTGGGTGATCCTGGTGAATTATGGCATTAGCAAATGGGATTGTTGCTGTGTTCACAGTAGTTCTCAAACATCCAGGTCAAGCCTTATTTTCACTTTCCTTCCTAGCTCTGAAATTCCTTAACCTTGCCTCTAACATGAACCAAATCATGATTAGAATGCCTTTGCTTGGTGTCCAAGTTTCTAGCAAATGAAGGTATATGAGGGGCAGTCAAAAGGCTCCTTAGTAATCCAATAAAGAGAAAAATGTTTTGTGTAACTCTAATTTGCTTTACTTGTTTTCCTTTATAGTTCCCCTGCTTCTCTAGGCAAGACTGGTATCTTTTCATATGCACAAGGTAGCTCTGAAGAAACATTTTGGGGTGTTTTGAAATTACTACCAAATCACACTTCCTTGGAGGGGAATACCATGAAGCAACTTCTTGAGTTCTCCAAACAACCAGACATTACTGGAACCAACATCTGGAGGGGTGGGGGGATGCAGCTGTACTTCTATCAGTTTTTCTTGGAGGCTGTTGCTCACAATTTGAGCTTGGAATAACTCTTGTTTGCCCCCTAGTTAATTTTGCAAAACTTGCATCATGCATGTATGTTCCTAACGGACTTGTGAAATTTCTTAGGAATTGATATTGCCTAAGCAAAGGCATGAGACATTGATAAATTGAAAATGAACAGGGAGCTCCAATTCCATTTGATTGCCTCAATCTCTGGAATTCCAAGTCTTCCTGCCTGCATCATTTTCAAATGAAGACTGAGGGAATATATGAATTAACAATGAGCAAAACTTTTTATTTTTATCCTCATTGGTTCATTTGTCAACAATTGGCATATCGTAAATCAAAAACTATCCTCAAGAAATGTCAAGCCTAAAGAAAGAAATTCAATGGAAGAGAAGTTTGATGTACCCTGGTTGAAACAAGGAAAATGCTTGGCCATGTCCTCCACTCCAATACCAGCACAAGCTCGTGTTCATATTCACTACTTAACCTATTTATATTAGTTGTTCATGTCCTTGATATGGAGAAATACATTTGTTAGAAATTTTGATGATCTGTTGGAAGTATCCTTTTACATCCAGAGAAAGTCTCTTGGAAATAGCTCCAGTGGGAGGAGAGTTAGAATTTTTTTTTTCAATACATATTCACATACCCCTCTATCAGGGATCAGGTGGTTGAGATAAAGGCATCATTAAAAACCTAGTAGTGACTAATAGAAGTAGTAATTCAGTTGTGGCATCCTCAGATTGTGCATTGCACTACATGGAACCAGCCGCCATACTTGACTCCCAGGATCTGCTTGGGACTGTTTGCCCTGGTCTCACCACCCAAACTTCCACTTTTTCTCTGAAACCAAAAAGATGCCCACTGATGAAGTCTGAAATCAGGTAGGAGTGTCTGAGGCCACATTATGCCCAACATTATTAATATATGAGAATCATTTTCAATAATGGGAACCAAGTATGTGGTAGAAAGTAAGAAAGTCCACCTTGAATATTGCCAAAATCCCACCTGGTTTTGGGGGGCTTTCTGAAAGGAAAGCCTTGGAAGTAATTCTGCTTGAATATATTTTTTCAAAATTTCTGCCACCTCACTCACTGAAAATAAGGGTCAGAAAATTATTTTAAATTATTTTGAGAATATTTTACTACTTTGCGTTGTAGTGTGAGGTCATAGGTGATATGTTAGAAGGTGAAAGTGCTGAAGGTGTAAATTTGCCAGTTTGAGACAGGTTTACTATCTACAGCACTCTAAAGGCACTTCATGGTGAGAGCATCCATGGCACGTAAGGTATATTAGATTATCCTCACAGCCAAGCAGTATAGGGGGAATTATTTGGATGAAATCGATGTGATGAGAAAAAGTTGAGGAAAGTTTCCTCCTTGAAGGGTGACTGGAGACAGCCAAAGCGTTTGGCTCTGTTAACATTGTATGTTCATGGTCATGGTCATTATCTTTCTGATGTCATGATCTGTCACTATCTCATATGATAATGGTCAGGGCATGATATGAGAACCCCTTGAAGGTAAGATTTTTTCATTATTTGAGTTCAGTAAGATAGGAAAAAGCAGCAGGACTCTGTTGACATGACAAATATTTTTGCTGTACTTCTGGCCCAAGGGCCTTGTAAGCCCTTCAGCATGAGGGTGTGAACAAAGATCGGATCAGATGACTCTTATATCAGTTTTGATTGATTGGACCTACAAGAATAATGATTGGAATTGGTTTTCTTTTCGCTCCGCTTTCAAAACATTCATGATTGCTTCACTGTTATTGACCTATTTGTTCTTTGCTGTTTCTGATTGCAACAATAGAAGTACTACAACCTTTGGCAGGTTAAGTCCATAGTACTGAAAGACTCTGAAGCAGTTCCTGATTCAAGACCTATGCGAGATTCCCTCTGCAGCAGATGTTCCACATTAGAAGAGCGATATCCATCAAATGTAAGTACTTGCTGAAATTCTCTCCAGAGGGTCATGCTTGGTTGGAAATTTTTGCTAGCAAAGGTGCATCAGAGTCAATTCATTGACACATCTCTTTAGTATAGCAAGTATATTTAAATCTGGCTTTTCAAGCTGTCACCTCTCAATCTTTTTTGTTAAGAAGGTAGGGGAGATACGGTTTTATTGGCCTGGAAAGCTTAACTGCTTATTATCAGAGTGCAGCAACGTTGTTTTGACATACAACCCTTATTCCTCAGATCATTTTTGAGTCTGGCAACCGCTACTCAATCGTGCATAGTGCTATCATTGCATCATGAGCATATATAGTTAAACCCTCTACAACAGTTAGCATTTATAAAAAAAATAACCGACATTATAAACAATATGTCCATCACGCCTATCGTTTGGAAATTGTAAAACCATAACTGCCGAGGAACTCCATGCAACCATGTATTCATTCATTTCCCAGTGCCAGATGTACTTGGACTGACCCGCTCCACATTGTGCAAAATGAGCGGACAGGTGGCAAACACCATCCGCACCAAACTCGCTTCTGCTCTCCTCCCATCCCATCTGAATGTCATCAATGAATCATTCATGCACAATGTGCCCAAGGGCTCAGAGACCCACTTCAAGGTTGTGGTTGTCTCGGACAAATTCCTTGACCTCTCCCCTATCCAGGTGAATCCATTCTTCTCATTCGAAAGTTGTTCGGGGTGGAGAAAAGTTTCAGCGCCTCCAAAATGAGGTGGAGAACAAACAAGTCGATTGTGCAAAGAATGTTTCCACTTTCATTTTCAGAAGCACAGGCTGGTTTATGATATTCTGAAGGAGGAAGTGGCTGGCGGAGTACATGCATTGTCTATCCAAGTAAGTCTTAAAGACGGTACTTGGCACTTGGCATTGCCTCCCTACGTTGCACTTTAAGGGCATGGAACAAATATTCCCACCTTTTTTTCCTTTTCCTTTGCTTTTTTGCCAAATCCTACAAACACACATGCTGCTCATTAAGGCGTTGCGGTATGTGATAAATTTCTCGGTAGGTACACCGTGGCGGTATACCGGCGATACTTGCGAGGAGCGCGGAAGGGGGAGGGGTTGCTTCAGTTATGAACTCAGAAAAAATCCCTCGAAGAGGGCTTTCTGTGGTGATGTCGTGGAACCAATTGCGCATGGTATCATGCCATTCGATCGGAAGGAGAGGGATTCGTTCGTTTGAATCCAAATGGATAGATTCGGTTAGCGCGCCCAGGAATAATACTGCGATTAATGTTACTGGGAGGACTCAAATTATGGATCTCGGAAAAAAAGCAGCAGCATGGAAGAGAATGCATCTCATCATTATGCATGGCTGCACGTTTCATATTGGTATCGAGTGCCCAGGCTCACCGAGCAGAGGGCACAGTCAAGGCGCAAGTGTACTTTCAAATGACGGATCTTGGTCATTGAGTCCGGATTAAATACATTCCAGTGACTTATAGGAAGGCTTCGGTTTTCCCCGGGTAGTGAGCCTCACCGTGAAAGGATATGGGAAATATAATTGACAAAGTATTTTAATTTTAGAAATGGCTCTTCAGGTATGGCACCGTGGCGGCGGTATGATGAGAAGCTGTATCCATTCCGTGGTGACGGTATTCCACGGTTTTCACACCGTGGCGATAATACCGAAAAAATGTAGAAGGGGGTCGGTATGATTATCATGAGAACCGAATACCGAGGTATGATGAAAATACCGGTATACCGCTACGTCCTACTGCTCATATTCTCATACTTAGGTTTCTCCTTTGCCTGTTTTTTTTTTTACCATCAGGCCATGACCCCATCACAATGGGAAGCATCCGACAAGACGGAGGAGAGCTCACCCTCTTGCAAGGGAGGCTTCGGAAAATGATCTGACAAATAGTGAATTATTTTGGATTCAGTTGCTCCTATGAAGCAGTCAGTGTTGGCATGTTCCCCTCTATGCGTTTCAGTCTTTGATTTTGATTTTAGTGGCTTTTCCCACCAGTTTGGGATTAGCCCTCGTAGTTGAAGATGAAATCAAATAATTGTGCAACTTTTTTAAGGTGCAATATAAAGCTTCAAACCCCTCAATGCTGGTTCCAGTCATTTACTGGAGTGGATTTTTCTCTGAATGAGGTCCCTTCAACAAATTGTCTGGGAATATAATCATCGGAATTTTAATGATATTGTTAACAAGGATATCATTCTCCGCGTTTCAAAATTTTTATTTTTATTGAGATGCATTTATTTTGAGAAAACCCCGTTATCCATTCAGAACTTACACCATGAAACATTTTTGAAAATAGTACTGTTTTTCCCTGAGATTACGGTGTTCATCCCAAACCATAAGGTTAGCGTGAATATAAAAAATTCTGGGGGGGGGGCACATGTACCCTCTGGTCCCCCTTACACTACGGCGCTGCCCAAATCCTGGGGCCCGTTCCTCGCCTCTGCTAAACTTAAATCTAAAACCAAATCTAAATCTTAGGCTAAATCTTAGTCTAAAGGGTCAGGGCGAAGAATTGACTTTTTGCTTTTAGACGGCTTTTAGATTTAGATTTAGATTTAAGTTTAAGTATAACAGAGGCGAGGAACAGGCTCCTGGACTGCTTCCCCCCCCTCAATACCCCACTATCTACCGGGAGAGTTGGGGGGGGGGGGTGTGCGATGTCGCATTTGCTCGTGCTGGCCCTGCACTTGATTATCCAGGCTGTCGCCTGCGAGTATGGAGCTCTCTCCCTATTCATCGGTTAAGCATCGGAATCGACCAACTTAGACGTCATAAATTCAGCTCGAGTGAAGAAAAAATATCCCAGTGGAAAACCCTTCAAAGCAACGGGGGAACTTGAAGACCGACTGGTTTCAACATCGGCAAAGCCAAGCACGTCACACGCCTGCAAAGCAGAGAAAGAACCTCCCTTTACCGCTTTCTTCCCCTTCGAAAGCGGCTCCGAGTTCTGCCTTTCGAGCTCTTCGTCGGGAATACTCGTCTGAAAGGAAAGCATGCAGTCATTCCCCTCGAGGCATCAAGGCTATTCGTCGGCACCGGGACTTTCTTTCGTGTGAAAAGACTGAATGCCGAACACGAAGCCGAAACGGGAAGGAGGAAAAGCCGAAAACATTGCATGACTCGAGTGCCCCATTCTGCAGGACTCAAATCACTTTTCCTGCTCCTGTTGGTGCTTTGCCTTTCGCGTTTCTTTCATCCTCCGATAATCCTGATTTTCATGTCATTTGACTCTCCAAAAGCCTTTGCACACCTCTACGTGGATAGGAGAGAGACAACCGAAACTTACATGGGATAATGTATAGGCTAGCGTACAACGCATTGACGAAAAGGGATACTAAGCTCCTGATGAGTTCCATGTAAGCCTGGTTTTTCTCCTGTTCATCCACAATAAATACAATCGCCAACCGTTGAAGCAGAAAATGAGGCCCCCCCCCCACACACACACACGCACACACCCACATCCACACACCGCGCGCTGGCCAGCTAATCTGACAGTCAATGCATGCCCATTCAATTTAAGTGAATGATGTCTTTACCAGCAGAGAAAATAAACTTAAAAAACGCAGCTCCTGCAACCTAAAAGGCAACAGTTTCCGATTACAAGCAGAGATGAAGCCAAACAGACTTGCTCGCACGACTCGAAAACTATCCGTTTTACCACCGCCCGGTCATTGCCGTCGAAGACTTCCACGCTAGTTCCCGTTTCTCCCGATGGCATACAACCGCCCCCCGAACGAGACGAGTCTACGAAAAGCTCTCCTTTCCTTCATGCTCGGGTGTTTCAACAACATTATCGTATCCTCGGGAGACACAAAGCAGCCCATAGTGGAAGAAGGCGACGGAATCCCTTCTCCTAAGAACTGGCTCTAACGTCCAGCCGCTCGTGCACCCCAACTGAAATATTTTTATCATTCACCCCTCCGATGACCTGGAGACAGGGGCCATTCGGGAGAGCAGAAGCCGCACCGCCTTTATCATTGCTTCGTTCTGTGTGAACTATACTCGGTTCCGTTTCTCTGCATACTCCTGCCTACAGTGAGTTCACGAAGATTCGAGTATCTCCCATCACCTTCTGAGAATTTTCTCATCCCAACGTTCGCATCTCCCTTTCCATAGGTGATGCTGTTCACCACGTACATTGGAATCTTTAAAGCTGCAACAGAACGAAATTCTTCTGCACGATGGGCCAAAGATCGTATCGGTAAAAATCGAAACACCTCACAGAGAGGATTCTTATTTTCTACGCCCCTCTGGAGATGCGATTGGGTCGAGGTGAGAGGTTGTGGCTACGTGGTTGGTCGATGTGCTAAATTTTCACTGTGCTAATTAGTAAGCCGGTAACGAATCTCATTTGCTCATTCCCTCTTATGCTTGAAATAATTATTGTACCTTTCATTTGCAGTTACGGAGATGATTGGGAGGTAGTCGAGGAGGAGGGAGAGGGAAGAAAAAGTTGTAAAAAGTTCCTCGTATCATCGTCATTCTGCTTGTCCTTCATCAATAATAAATAATTCCGAGTGATCTACCAATGGCTACGATTTTTCAGAAGTTGCAAATTCGTTGTAAACGTAACCAGAGATGTGATTGACACATCCCGTTTCTCACGTCGAGACACTCATTGCCAGCGTCATTCAAGCTTTCTCTTCTTGTGGCTTTCGTCAGATCGAGGATCAATGAACCATAATCCAAAATTCTTGGGATCGTGCAGGCCCGGCGCAGGAAAATGCTGAAATACACTGGGCCACCTCTGGGTTCCGGAGATTGACCCCTCACTTCATTTTCGATCATCGAAGTTACACTGGGGGAAAAAAAAAATGAAAATCACTACATTTTCATTCAGCAAGGAAAGGAGAGGAATCTGTGCAGGTTGTCCAAAGATTTAGCGTTCGGAACCTTTGCCACCACCGATCACTTCCTTGCAATCCAATGACCTGCTGACCTCCCTCCCGATGGCCAGTCCTGCCAGACGTTCTTGTGACATGCTTCATCCAAGACGAGTTATAAACCGTTTTCGGTTCGGAGCCGCTTCTTTTTGCAGATGCAATTCTCACTGGAGCCGTTCCAAGAGCATCAAGTGACTCCCATGTTTCATGTTCCAAAGTTCCCTCACTTTAAATCAAACGTCATGCAAAAACATTCAAGAGCTACTTATTGAGAATACTCACGAGTAGGGATGGAAAATGTTGGTACTCGATTGGCTAATGATAGGAACTCCTCCAGCTCCTCGGGGAAAACCTACTCTTTTTATACTACTGACTAGAATTCCGTCTTCGCCTTGTATGAAGAACTCCGGACCGTGCAGGAATTCCCACTCACCCCTGAGACCCAACTCCGAGACATCGAAGAGATGGACTTCCCTTCCCGGTGTCCGAGTCGGTGAATCCTCGCTCGAAATGAGGTGACCGCGCGGCTTGCATGAACCTGCTGCTGGGAAAATTCTCTCTTCCCCAGGGCCCCCCAGAGGGGGGCAATTGGGGCAATCTGCCCCGGGCCCCACGTATCAAGGGGCCCCAAAGGGGGCCTCCAAAGGGCCTCAAGGGGTCTCCAGTTTAGTTTTGCCCCAGGCCCCTGGAAACCTCTGGGCGGCCCTGCTCTTCCCACCTGTAAGATGGCGTCACGGTACGGACACGAGCCTTCTCCTTTTCAGCCACCTTCTGGCACCCCCAACTCCAGATCCAACTTGTCTTCATTCCTTTCCTCGACCAATTTTACAGAGCACTCAGAGGAGGAGCGTGCTGTTTCAAGTTCTCCCCGGTTCTCCCCCTCACTGACTAGCCGTGCTTGGCCGAGAAGGGGATTGACGTCAGCGTAGAGTCTTCCTCCATGCTGACGTCACACCCCCTCCCAGCCAATCGTGGAGTCGTACTCGAGAAAAGAAGACCGCCCATTTTTCGCAACTCACGGAGTAGGCGAAGTGGTTCACAACGTCCTAAGAAGATTGGGATTGGCTAGGAAGGTGCCGTGCAGACCCGCCCAGAGAGTGTGTGTGTATGTGCGTGTATGTGCGTGTATGTGCGTGTGTGTGCGTGTGTGTGCGTGTGTGTGAGGGGAGGAGGAGGAGGGGGGGGGGGGGGGAAATCTGCCCCGGAATGGGGGAGGGAGGGGCTTACAGATAAGAAATCTCTGCATTTCGGGGTTTGGGTCCATCGTTCTAGGCAGTTCTCTCGCGATGACTCGGTTGTAAGAGATGAGTGGCAGGTGCTTGAGCCGCTGAGGAGACTCTCCCAAGTGAGCTTGAGAAAATAATAGAAACATAATTAACCTTAATCTTACGGATTTAAATATCCCGCGTTAGTCAAAAAAGAGCACAAGCGGATTCACGGGCGAACGAAGGACACCGAAAATCCGACTGCCTTGGTCGCCTTAGACCAGGGGTCGGGAACCTTTTTGGTCATGTGAGCCATATTAAGATTGAGGTTGAGAGCTCGCAAGATTTTCAAAACAACGGAATTTTTCCCTAAAATTGGCAACAGACAAGTGCTTTCGTTGATACATGAGAAAAATGAGGAACAACCATGATTTTTAGCCATGACTCATGAGCCAAATTCGGCTCCTGAGCCATAGGTTCCCGACCCCTGCCTTAGACTATCAATGGATGACGTCATCCTTAACATCCTGACCGTTCGAAAGATACTCAAAGATAAGATCGACAAAAACGGTTCCAAACCGAGACGAGAGAAAACATCGCGCACCTTAAGAAATCAGAGACGAGCTACGTGACGTCAATCGGCAGCGTGTCGACGTCAATTGGCGACGAACTGAAAAACGTTTTGGTCAGACAAAGATTATTGCCGAAAATTTAGGAATCTTGTCGTGATGTCCCGGTCGAGTCACGTGACTCAAAAATTGGGCATTCTGCTCCGACATTTGTACCACAGACTAGAACTGACCTTTGACTACAGATCTTGTCAGTTTGAGATTTTTGGAAACTAATATCATTGTCTAGGTGTACGGGGAGAAGGCTGTTTTCGAGATACAGACGGGGGAAACAATGTATCTTTGGACAGTCCGTAAGAAGTTCATGAGCACGTGACATTGTTTCTAGCCTCCCTCAGCCAATCAGCGCGGGCTGCGCAGAACCCGTTTGCAGAACGTATGAGGCGCACTCTCAATTGCAGGAGTCTGCCTCGGCAATAAGTTTTTGCAATAAGTAAGAGAACGGAGTTCCCACTCCCTCTTGTAAGGAGAACGCCGTTTCCCGTTTCTTCAATGAGAAGTCTTGAGAGTGGAAGAAGTACAGAAGTGCCAAATTCGATCCATGTGAAGCAAGCTGTCTCTGAGGAGCGTCTGTCCGTCACACATGTGGGAAGAGGCGCCAAGAGAGGAAGTGCCATCGAAACGAAGAGGGAGAGGAGAAAATGTGGGGAACCCTGGGCGTTTTTTCTCATTCAGCCAGTCGAGAACGGAAGCATGCTTCGAGGATGCTCACGTGTAAAGGAGGGAGAGGTGAAGAGCGGGCCGTGGGGGCCCTCGTGGTGTTGATGGCTGCTCGTCAGTGTTCTCTAGCCTGGATCGAGGCCTGAGCCTTTTCAGGGTCGGGTTGGTTCGGTGGGTTGCGAGTCTGGATTCTGAGGAAAGTATCCGGCGTAGGTCATTGATCACTGACAACGCTTTCTTAGCGAATCCCACCGTGCAGTGCAGGCCCTCGTCGTTGTACGAGACTGACGCCCCTGCTCCTGCATTTCGTGTTTCTATGCCGGTACGCAGGCCTACCGCCCAGGCTAGGTGTGGCGAGCTGAAACGCCGAGATAACGACGACCATTTAACGGGTAGCATATACCTTTACAGTCTGACCAAACCTATATCGTATGTCCTCAAACGATATAGGATGAGAAGCTGCGCTCGCAGGTGAGGTTCACGTGCGAGTATCTAACGTTAGGCATATGTATCAATGTCGTCGGCCAATTTGAGCGATATCTAACGTTAGGCGTCTGGGATGCTATGCTCAGAAAAAAGAATACCTGGTCAGCCTCAAATTACTATGCAGAAAACTTTATAGAGATGATGCCTGTATGGTCTTCTTACCCACAATATGAGTGCCTATCTCTACAATCATACAAAGATAAATAAGCAAGGTATAGTGTGCTGGACTTCCTTGGGCCCAGTATGGTGCAGTCAGTGGGCTGTTATGTTGATGTTGGTGAATGCATGCTTTAAATGTGTCAATAGTGGCACTAGGTGGTCAGGGTGCCCCAATCCACCTTCTTACATGGAAAATATATTTTAAGTCGTAAAAAATATAAAGAAATGAAAAGTTCTTGCATGCCCCTCCCAATCCCACACTTTTTAAGCATTCCTTCGCATCTCACTTGTTACTGGTAATCATTCATCTAGTTAGAAGGGTTTGCCATCTTAGGGGCTGTACCTAGGAGGTGGATGTAGCAATATCCCTACAGTAATTGTTATGGATAAACCAGGTCACCTTGTTCTTCAATTTCTCTAGCACCTGCATATTACCTGCTTCATGAGGATCCCATATTTCTGAAGCACATTCAGGGATGTGGCAAATACAAGATAATTTTATGTATGTAGCCACCTTTATAGGAGCATTAGTGAGGCTACATTACAGCTATCCTGATAGCTTTGGTAGTTATTGTGCCTATGTGCACCTTCCAATTTGGTTTTTGTTGATGGTATTTGTTGGAGTTTACATCTTCTATAAGGACTCCCATCAAGCCAATAAGGTTCAAATAGATGGTGTTTGTGTGTTTATGCCACCAGAACTTAGCACTTAGCTTGAACATGAGGACCCTCACAGTAAGATAGCTTAGCCAGCTGTGTTTCATGAGGCACAGTATCAAATCTTCTTGTCATTATCACTCCCAGGTTGAAGTGACTCTGATTCCCAGGTGGGTATGCAACAGAATGGATGTAACAATATTTCAAGATGAACTCCAGTCACAAGAAATGATACAGGGGGAGGTGAATTCCAAAGATCAGAAGACACGCCGTGATTATCAGTTCATATCCCAGAGGATCTTGGAGACCATCCAGGCTGGACAATGCTGTGATATTACAGTGAAGGTGGAAGATGCCACATTTGTTGGAAGCCGCCTTATCCTGGTGGCCGTGTCACCCTACTTCCGATCAATGTGCCTGTCTGGATGGAAGGAGTCATCAGAAAATGTTGTGGAGATCAAGGGGATCTCAAAGGCTGGCTTCGAAATCATTTGGGACTTCATTCATGGCACCGAATATGATGTGAGCACTGAAGAGCTGGCATTAACTGCACTCTATGATTCTCTGTACCTCCAAATCGAATATATCTGTAAGATCCTATGTAGGAAGCTGAGAACAAAGTTCTTGCATGTGGGAAATGCCCTCCATATTCGTAGTGTTGCCTACAATCTTGCCATGAAAGAACTAGTGGATGACCTTGACCGCTACATCTCTCATCATTTCCAGGAGATCATATGGATGCCAGAGTTCTTGAACATTTCCTTCCAGTATCTCAGGGAATTATTGGGGCGGGATGACTTGGAGGTTAGATCTGAGAAAACCCTCCATCAGGCAGTGAAAATGTGGCTTAATGTTGACTCTGACAGGAACATCTGCATGATGCAGCTATTGGAAAAGATTCGTCTTCCACTTCTTCCCCTCACCTATCTTCACAATAAGGTTCTTGGAGATCCACTTATCAAGGATGACCCTAAATTCCTTTCTCTCATCATGGAAGCCAAGGACTTTCATCACAAGGCACTTCGTGACACCGTCCCCAAGGAGAAAACCAAGTCTCGTGGGACTGAAGTCTATCGTCACTGGAACAGATTTTGGTTTCTTGGAAAATTTGAAGGAGAGACCTGGATCTATGCTCTTAACACAAAGAATTGGGGTTGTTTTGGTGTGTGCCCCTATAATGATGAAAGTACATCTCAGGATCCTGGATTTGACAGAGGATTTCTATCTGTCCAAGGACAGTTGTGTATGGTGGGAAGAGGAAACTGGGAATGGTTTGATGTTGATGCGAAAATTTGGCATCCGGGACCCCGATCCCCAGTTGATGTCCAATTTCCCTCATGTGCTGCAAGTGATACAAGTTTCTTCATGTGTGGAGGAATCATTCAAGAAGGTGGAATTTCCACCAGAGTGCATAAGTTTGACTTCATATCACAGCGCTGGGTAAACTTCCCCAACCTGGAACATGAACGTGCAAAAGCCACTGCCGTGCTCAAAGGTTCGTGCCTCCACCTTATTGGAGGTGCACAAAAGGACTTTAGGTATGAACGGTTGGATGTGAGGAGCAAGAAGTGGCAGGTTCTTGCAGACTGGCAAGAGGACCCTTCACTGAGGACTGGGTGTTCTTTCCCTGGTATAGCTTTCCACAATGGGGAACTCTATGTCACTGGTGGCTCTGGTGGGGCAACTACTAGACGTGATGTTCACATTTATGATACAAGGATGGACACATGGCGAGAGTGCCCTTCCATGGTCATGGAGAGGTGGAGGCATGGACTCATTTCCTTTCAGGGAAACCTTTATGCTGTTGGTGGAGAAAGGAATCGGTCTATTGAAGTTCTCGAAGAAACTGATTGGAAGGTTGTTTTCCAGTACGGTGATCAGATTCAAACGTGTGAACAAGCATGCCATGTGAAGGTAATCTGAGATGGAGACCTATTCATTTTCCTCTATGCAATGCAACTGTTGAATGATATTGATTTGCAATGCATTTTATTCATGGACACCTCTTAATACATTTGATACTAATTTTAATTATTCTCTTCTAATCTCTGGGTGTACTTTGTAAGCGTTTTCTGTTCAGGCTTCTGTGAGCTTTCATGATTCACATGGCAATATGGTCAGCATTTCCTTGGATTTGAATATAAGGGTTCACTTCAGATCTCTCAAGTTTTGGCAAGGTATCTAATGATGATACTCAATTTCTACTGCAATATCAGCTATTAAATTCAGTTCCAATTCGTAGCTTCATGTTTGAATGCAGAGTAATTCATGACAATTTTTTTTTTTATGTAGGCCTAAGGTGCATAAGAAAATGATTTATTGGTGCTTTGGATTATCCTTTTTTTTTTTGGTGATGTGGCTAGTAGGATTTTCATTGGAGGGAAAGTAAGATTTGTACTTGTATTATTGTATTACAAAGTATTCTTGTACCATTTGCAGTATAGTACCCCATATGCATATGGTGTAGGCTTACATTTGTAGTGTTTTAAGTGGAATTCATGATGTTGGGCAGGACCATCATAAAACTTGAATTGCCATGTGTTGCTTGCTCCCTGGATATGATTTGCTGTGACATGACTCTTCAAGCCTGAATAAGCAGGATCTGCTAAAAATTTTTAAGTGACAGGGAGAGACTGGAAAGATGTGAAGGATCACATGATGGGATCCTATCAGGTGACAACCATTGAACATTTTCTGTGATATTTGCTGGAAAATTTTCCCACATATTTGATCATCCAGTGCATTTAACTGAATGGGAAGGACTCTCTGAAGGTAGGGAGATTTCATGCCTTAAAAGGACGTTTGCATTTTCATGTCATGTCATCATCCATTTGGTTTTTTTTTGGTTTTTATTGATCTCTGCATTCAAAGAATAAATTTTATGTGCATTAAAGTGAACTGAATAGATTTTCTTCCTTTATGTCTCTTACTATTTAGTACTACTTATTTGCCTTCTGATGTAGTAGTGTATTGGCTTTTGAAGCCTCAAGCCAACAAGACTCTGTCGTGGTTACAAACATTTGGTTTGTGACAACATTAACTTTTTTCAAGATATTCATTTTAATTACTGTTCCATTAATTACTGCAATTTCTGTTTAATTGAGATCCATCTACTCAGAAAACATTAGTTCCTTCTTTCCATGGCATCCTGAAAGACTTGAGCAGGTCTCCAAAAAATACATAGCATAAATTTCAGCACAATATCAAAAAAGCCTTCCACAGCATCATTCATGATCCAAAAATCTCAGTTCAGTCTCTGTTGGGGGATCAACGTTGTGTTAGTATGCTCCAAATGAAGGAATTGGTGCATGGATTTAAATTGTGCATGGATTTTCGCTGCCTTGCCGTCGAAATTCCTTCAGATGTGAATATGATTCAGGCAGGTACACTTCAAACATGATATCACAAAACTAGAACCATTCAACTATTTTCATGATATTCTTGCCACATTTCCCCGCCCTTAGGAATTTCCGCGACCTCAAATATACATTCACGACCAGCGGCGTAGTGCCAGTGGATGGTATTCCCCCTTTCCCAATTTTAACCCATTCAGTCCTGGCCCTCCCCACGTTTTCCATCCACGCAATGCTACACATATTGTTCATGATTAAATTTCGTAAAAATTAGGGTGGTGCTACGATTCTGATGTAGAAGTTGCCAATTTCCCCAGGTTTCCACTTTGACCCTTGTACTTAATGCCAGCTGTGAATCATCCTAAATTAGCATTCAGGGTCTTGAAGACGGATGGTCGATAACCTTTTTTCCTCATTGAAAAGGCGCGATTTATTTATGAGTGAGAATCGACCGGAATAGGAACCTGACACGCTCCGCCCCTTCCCTTGGCTCTGCAGTGCAGAAATTCACCATCGTCGATGAATCGCTTCGACTATGGTGGACCTCGCATGCGGGCCACGCCAAATCCGTTCAGGTTAGTGACGTTGAAAGGGTTCTTCGGTTGTCACAGTTTTTTGTCGTGGACTCCTGCCTAACGACTTGCTGTGGATTAAGTTCGTGGATTCATGAGCATTTCAAGCAACCTTAGATATGAAAGAAAAAGGAGAGCTGATTCGAAGTTCTTTCAACCGTTGGAATATATTCTGCACCGAAATTTAGAAATTTCATTTGTTTATAGGAGAAGATTCCAAATCGGTAATGCATTTTCGCGACGATGAAAATTCCTCGTAGAAGTTTTGATGCAAACAGAAAACGTCCCTTCAAGATCTTCTCAGTGGTAGACGCCAATCTTCCAGGTCATAGCAGGCATCTTGCCGCACGTGCAGCGGATCAACACAGTAAAAGCCGTCGAGAGGGCACGTTCTCACGCCGAGGATGCAGTGCTGTTCCATTGAAGTCAGTGAGGGTTGGAGAACTCATCTTTATTTTCAACGGGAATTCGTGAGAGAGGCAGATAATCGGTAACACCGATAGTCCATCGATGGGTGTTAATAATTGCAATCGAGGGTCGTTCATATTTGGCTGAATATAAAGCACAGTGGTGTGTGGATTGCTTAATGGACAATTAGAGTATCGGCCAGGGCAACCCTGCTTGTCCTTTGTCGAACCGCGGTAGTAACGCGACGGCCACCAAAGGCGGCGTCAGCAAGAAAGTCCATTCTGACCACTACGGCAGCAAGTAGCTTCAAACCCGAGAACCTCCTAGAGTTGTCCTATACAGTCTTGTTTATGCCGTAAAGACTCACTTTGCTGCAGGTTGGGGCCTCAGCCCCTTCCGCTTTCACGCGGTGGCGTGCTTCATCTCATCTGACGGGCTTATCTCTTCGGACACTAGGTATGAAGAAAGAAGAGAGTTAGTCTGAAAGTTACTTCCATTGTTGTTCAGTTTTACGAGGAAAGACATGTACCTTGTCTTTTGCTTCCATAGATATGACACAAAGTCATTTTGCTATTCAAAGCTTACACCTCCTTCAATTCAAAAATAGACCCTTTGGGTCTATTTTTGAAACTAATTGCTAATTAATAACTAATTTTTGAAACTAAACTAATTGCCTATTTTTCCAGAATAGAAAACTTTGCCTGTCAGGACTCAATTGTTTCTTTCAGAAAGTTCTCAAGTTATGGATGATACAACATGGTGTGAGAGTTTGATGGAATGTATAGGAAAGAAGTACTTGCAAATCAAAATTGGGAATTTCGCATGCTTCACTTTCCCCTGCCTTAAGGCAGGGGAAAGTAAAGACTGCAGACACAAACTTCAAGTGTGATTAGGGAAAAGATGGATTTTTTAAAGTTTAATTCTCAGGAGGGTAAGACCAAGTGCATTGTTTTCACAAGTTGCCAAAAACATGTAGATCATCTTTGAGGCTTCAGATTAAGAATGTACCGAGTATTCNTTAGATATGAAAGAAAAAGGAGAGCTGATTCGAAGTTCTTTCAACCGTTGGAATATATTCTGCACCGAAATTTAGAAATTTCATTTGTTTATAGGAGAAGATTCCAAATCGGTAATGCATTTTCGCGACGATGAAAATTCCTCGTAGAAGTTTTGATGCAAACAGAAAACGTCCCTTCAAGATCTTCTCAGTGGTAGACGCCAATCTTCCAGGTCATAGCAGGCATCTTGCCGCACGTGCAGCGGATCAACACAGTAAAAGCCGTCGAGAGGGCACGTTCTCACGCCGAGGATGCAGTGCTGTTCCATTGAAGTCAGTGAGGGTTGGAGAACTCATCTTTATTTTCAACGGGAATTCGTGAGAGAGGCAGATAATCGGTAACACCGATAGTCCATCGATGGGTGTTAATAATTGCAATCGAGGGTCGTTCATATTTGGCTGAATATAAAGCACAGTGGTGTGTGGATTGCTTAATGGACAATTAGAGTATCGGCCAGGGCAACCCTGCAACAGGAAACAGCTTGGCGCCATCATTGCGCTGCCGGTGGTTTCCGCCGCAGTCGTTCTTTCAGGTAAGACTGGTGATGCCGTCGTTCATCGAAGTTTGGGCTCTTGGAGGATCTCAACAGGATATGCGTCTTGTTTATGCCGTAAAGACTCACTTTGCCGCAGGTTGGGGCCTCAGCCCCTTCCGCTTTCACGCGGTGGCGTGCTTCATCTCATCTGACGGGCTTATCTCTTCGGACACTAGGTATGAAGAAAGAAGAGAGTGTCTGAAAGTTACTTCCATTGTTGTTCAGTTTTACGAGGAAAGACATGTACCTTGTCTTTTGCTTCCATAGATATAACACAAAGTCATTATGCTATTCAAAGCTTACACCTCCTTCAATTCAAAAATAGACCCAAAAACTAATTGCCTATTTTTCCAGAATAGAAAACTTTGCCTGTCAGGGCTCAATTGTTTCTTTCAGAAAGTTCTCAAGTTATGGATGATACAACATGGTGTGAGAGTTTGATGGAATGTATAGGAAAGAAGTACTTGCAAATCAAAATTGGGAATTTCGCATGCTTCACTTTCCCCTGCCTTAAGGCAGGGGAAAGTAAAGACTGCAGACACAAACTTCAAGTGTGATTAGGGAAAAGATGGATTTTTTAAAGTTTAATTCTCAGGAGGGTAAGACCAAGTGCATTGTTTTCACAAGTTGCCAAAAACATGTAGATCATCTTTGAGGCTTCAGATTAAGAATGTACAGAGTATTCAGGAGAGTTGTCTCCAGTCAGAATTGACCCTGGAAGGCTTTGGGATGCAATATGTTTTCAAATTCAAGTGGTCAATATGCACCTGTAAAAATTCGTGGAGCCATATTAATGTCTCAAGTCTAGAATGGATTTTTGAGCAATTCCCCGAGAAGTTGCTTTTTTAACTGTCATAGACTTTGCTTTAGTGAAAGAAGGATGCCTTTAGTGTCTCCCAAGGAGGAGTTAATTTGGATCAAATGGAGGAGGTGCATCCCATGCTTCACTTTTCCCAAATACTCGGGGATAAAAGCAACAAGGGAATATAGTTTTGAGTGCTCCTGAAATAAATTGCAGTTCTCTAGTGATGTTTGTTGTCCTTTATGGTCATATCTTCACTTCATTGTGTTCGCATTTTTATTGCTATAATCATTGAATATGAGCTCTGAAGGTTTCTAAGAAATTGACTTGATTTCTATAATGATCAACACTTAACCCCTTAACAGCCTCAACCACAGATGAATGTCATCTGACAGCACAGCAAAGAACCAATAAACTGCTACCAAGAAGAAGAGATGATGGTGTTGAAGGATTGAAAATCCACTATTGTCCGTTTGTATTGAAATGTATCACTTCATTGACTTGTGACTTTTATAGCATTGTCAAAATTATAGTTACATTTTTTAATTCTCAAAAAAGCCTAAAAGAGTAGAAAATTAATCTGCAGTTAAGAGGGTTAACGCTGCACTTGCTTCTGCCATTGATTGGCATATACCAGTACTTGTTCGTGTGCAATGGCTCCTGAAGATCACTCTCTACTAGCATTATACTTTGGCCTAATAACTGGGTTTTATTTTCTTTCAGGGTTGATCAGAGGAAGAAGCCTGTGCATTGAAGAAAAAGGAGGAGGAGCAATCTGGGACCCACAATCGGGCTTTTTCTGCCTTGGGCATGGATCTGCTGTGCTGCTTGTGTTTTCTTGTTTCTTCCCCCACTATTGTCAACATTTCCTGAATTCATTTTTCACTACTAATTAGAGTTGCTGTTTTTGAATTGTTAAATATCTATTCATCATTGGTTAACTTCATGGCTGCATTTTGCTCTCCCAATTAGTATCTCTACAGTGCTTCCATAAAAGCAGATGACTTCTGTTATTTTTCATAGGAATTTGTTTTCCCAGTTTTGGAGGTACAGTCAACTCTGCATAATGGAATACCATTGCATGATCCCAATTTATGGTATGATATTGCAGATAGTTTCAGTTATTGGATTACTCTGGATTATAGAATAAAGTTTGCCAGTCCCGTGAATATTCCAATATGCAGAGGCAACTGTATTTATGGTTTGTCAGGAAATTTCATCCCCATTGCTAATTATTTTAAAGCAGGTGGCAATGGATGAATGAGTTGCATGGAGTTCTATGTTTGAATTGTGGAAACTCAATTCACCACTAAATTGTGAAATTATTTTCTCTTCGCACTGATGGATACAGCTTAGAAGCTCTCCTGTGAATTTAGATGTAAATGATGCATTTTGTGATGTTAGAGTCCAGTGTCTGCCCAATGCAGCCTGCTTCATTGAGTGGCATTCCAATCATCTGGATTTGTACCATGAGATGGGATATCTTGTTTCAATTGAATGCACAGAAATTGTGAGTATACATCTGTTGCAGCAAGGGTTTGATGACACTCTCCAGATTGTACTTATCCAACTTTAATTCCCATGATCCAAATCCAGTACCATTCCAAGATTTTTCTTAATGCTTATGGATCATAGGACTTGGAATTATATAAAGTCAACAGGTTTCATCTCCCATATGGTGAGAGACTGATTAGGAGTTGAGTTTGTAGGATTCAGTGGACAGGATGCAGATGGAGTGTTAGTCATCCAATTCGCATACCATCTAAATCCCAGTGAAAATCAGTCTTGAGTCACTAGGGTTAGAAAGTTCTATCAGTCCTTGTAACTTTGACTTGTGTAAAAATCTAACATCTGATAGCAGGTGTTTGGAAGCTTCAATTCAGTCTGGGTTTGTTTTGCTTTTTCCTCAATTGTGAAAGTTTCATGGAGTCTGTTGAGAATTCAAAATCACATCAATATTCCATTCTGGCACCAGAAAGATTTAGATGCTTGGAGTGCCACTCTCTTATTCCCTTGGTGTGCTTGCTTGTTGTTTCTTTTTGTGTTTGAGATGGTGGGGAACAGGAGGTAGGAGATGGGGAGCCTTCTTGCTTGGCCTGCTTCTTCCTACTTTTTTCTTTCCCCTTGTGACCCCTTTCTCCTCCTCTCTCCCTGTCCACCCTTGAAGATTCCCTTTACTTCTGCCCCCTTTTCCTTTTTCTATTTCTTCCTCTACTTCCCTCTTCATGGTTTTCCTTGTCCTTCTCTTGCTCCACACTCCACCACTCTTGGACTTGATTCCCATCTTTCCTAAATGGACTCCCCCCCCCCCCCCCCCCCCCCCCCCCCCAAGACAGTTTCACCAAATTGAGGTTTTCAGCAGGGATAAAGAGGGAGTGCTTCAAGGAATATCGCAAAAAGCCTATGAAGAGGGATCCAAAAATTTGCATCTTTTCTTACTCTATGCCCCCTTCTTTTGTCCCCACCCATCTTGTTGACTGCTTTTGAGTCCGAGATTGTGTGCCTGTGGCTGATCTCCCTGTTGGAGGCTCACTCTCATGTTATGTCACTCGTCATGGGTCCCATTGTCAGTGGGTGCTTAAATGCTCCTGGGTGCCAGAAGCAGGAGGGACGATGTCTTGAGGGGCATCCAGTCCTCTTTGATGAGCGATCTGTGAGTCTCGTCTCCCAAGGATCTCTGCTTTTTCTGGGTTCACATTCAGTGCCTCATTTCATGCCCATTTGGTAGCTGAGTAATCTGTGGTCTTCACATACATCTATAATTACCCTCATGGACTAATGGTATGGCATCTTAGATTGAGCATACTCTGAGTGAATCCTGATTACCTTTTCTTCTGTTTGCTATTGTCTAATAGGAACACCTGTTCAAAGTACTATCCAGTGATCCATTTTGCTCATTGGGACCCTTCTAATTGCTAACAAGTTTAGAATTTTAAAATTTTACTTAACTGGTCTAACATTTCAGAAAAAAAAGAATAATCTCAAGGTTTGCCTTTTAGATGAAATGGGGAATGCATGTATTGCCTCAGGTCATGTTCATCAAACCCTCCAAAATATCTCTGTAATAATCAACAGGAGGTGGGGAGGTTGGAATATCAGATACTATAATCACATTCCATGTAAGATATTCAAGATGTCCACATTCAGCTTCATAAACTTGGTTTGAGTTGAGAAAATACTTTCTTGGGGGGTTAATCTGCTGGAAAGCCCAATTTGGTTTAAAGTAAGTTCCTCCTGTCCCCTCAAGGACATATGGGTGGAAGACTTAAGAGGAACACTTCTTTTGCATTCCTGTCAGTATTTCTTCTTCCTACAAGACTTTAGACACATGTAGGATCTATATCATTTAGCAATTCCTTTGAATAAGTGTTCCTGCATATTCTTCTCTTTTTCTAAATGCATGCACTCCAATACTAATGAATTTTCATTTGCTTCATCAAACAACCATTGGATCTATAAATGAATTATTGGGGTCCACATAAATTCATAATGCGATCATACTAGCTTCCACATATTAAAGTTATTCATTCTAGGCCTTAATACAGTCTTGCTTTCATTGATCATTCCTCCCTTGAATCTCCTTGCAATAATCCTGTCAATAGAATGCCACTGTTTCATCTATCATGGCATTTCAGGTTTAATTGCTACTTTTAATCCTTTTGACTTTTATTTTCTGCTGAAACTTCTCACCAAACTTTGAGAGGTGTTGGTACTGTATGCTTCTTATTTTTTCATTTCCAACCTTGTAACTTTTTTCAACTGTCATATGAACCTCAATTCAGAGAGAAAAAAGCAAGAACATGAGGTTTTTTTAGACCTAGTATATCTCCATGTCAAGGAGAGAGAGATAAATTTCACATGATGTTATTATTGTTTCATATCATAGGAGATTCAGGAGACAGTTATTTCCTAATCAGCATCATTCACATTTTGTACTATTTATATTTAATTACCTTTCTAAATTATCATGAAAGTCTGGGTTGTTTGCTGTCTCATTTATGTATGTATGCAGGTGGGTGAAAGTCTTGTTTGGTGCTTGGTTGCATCTTGTGTCCATGCACCTAAATAATCTGTTGAACCTAGGCCAGTAGTTGTATCATAAACTGGAAATGTTGGGAACTTAATTTCAGATCATATTTCACTTGCATTGTTTGTTGGGACCAATCCCAACAAATTAGCACAGAGATGAGCTGCTTTAACCCTTTTATTTCTTATTTGCAACTGTTGTGAGCAGAGGGGTCAGGGTTGAGTTGCTTCTTTTTTTTTAACCTAGGAATTATTCCTTTCTTAAACTAAACTGCATAAAATGAAGTTTTAATCTCAGCTGCAACCCAGACAAGAGTCTTTTACTGAAGTGAATTGATAATTATGTTT